GTGGCAAATGTTACCCATAATATGTACTTGGCAGCAAATGGAAGCAAGCTGTGGACACATGTTCATTCTAATTGGGGCTTATCAACTGAAGCCTTCTAGTGATTTAAAAATACTAATAAAGATACCCATGTTGAAATCCTCATTCAAATTTTTTATAAATATGGGATATATAAAACTTTTAAAATCCTACACATTTTACTGCAGAACCTTTGAAGATTGAGAGGTGAATCTAGGAACTCCATTCCCTGAGAGAAAGGGACATTCCATGAAAGGAACTGCCTTTGGGGGAAATTCCCTCTTCCTCACACACCACAGCTCACCCCATTCAACAGGTTCCCCTGACTCTCCCAGGAGCATTTTCAGGGTGCTGGAGGGGCTGCCATGAGAAGGATAGGGTGGGGAAACTGATCTTTCTTCCAGTGCAACTGATCCAGCATAAATCTGGATTTCAACCACAATGCATTTATTTGGAAAGAAGAGCCACCGAATGCAATGGGAATTATTCACAAATAAATGTTCACTGATGTGTTTCTTTAAAAACACCTGAAGTTAAGCTCCCATTTAGTAACTAGTAATGACACAATCACAATCATATGCCTCTGTCCCTCTGCCTATAATCCCCACTTACTATTTGCAATATTTATATGACTTCAGTACACCCTTCCATTCCTCTCCTGCATTCTAACCCTCAATCAGGAACATTAATGAAATGAGACTGAAAAACACCCTTCACTGCTTCTGACAGTCTCCAGAAATTGAGAACCTTGTTTTCAATGGCAATATGTGAGAATTTAACTGCTTCTGCAGATTGCTCTGGCCTGCACAAGGTATGGAGCAGTTCAAATCGCTGAGCTACATGGCTCATGATAAGATCTTGGCTGTTGAACATTTTGCAGGACCCCCTACAGACAAGCAAAGAAATCTGGAAGGGGCTGCAGAGTATGATCCAGTGTCTATCTCTGCTCACTTCCCTTCTTAATGGCTAATTTTCCCAAGTGGAGTGAAGGGGGAAGAGCAATGCAATGTATAGTTTGGTTCTTACTCCATTGCAGCAAAAATGAGAGAGGTCCCTGTGCCACCTTAAAGGTGAATGTATGTATTTGTGAGAGAAAAATGATAAATTCTTTCTTAGTTTCTCAGCCTTGGCAAAGAAGCAGATATATGAGAGTAGATAATGCAGAAGCATGTAGAACTAAAGGAAAAGTAAGATACTTACCAACACAACTACAATCAGGCATTGTAATATTGTGTGAGAAGTTACAACAGAGAAGTTACAAGCAGGAGTCTTTGAACTACACAGGTAAAATATAGAGATAAGGTGTGAATGGAGGGAGGACATGCCAAGTTGTATGATGAGTAACCAAGAAGAAGGGGGCCCATGGGAAAGAGTCTTTAGTAGCAATGTGAACTGTAAAAGCTTTGTTATATTATTTGAGGCAGTCTCCTGGTGTTCTGCCTCTGCACAAGTGTATAATTGATTTTGCCTTGTGAACCATATCCTTAAGAAATACTGTTGAGTCACTTTTTCCTGTTAATTTAGGCCTATTTCCACCAGGATTTGACATATTATAACATGAGTTTGTCAACAAAATGCATATCAGACACCAGCTAAGATAGGCTTTGGTTTAGAAATATAAATATTAAGAACTTTATTGCATCCTTCCCAACCTGGTTCCTCCCAGATGTTGTGGACTACATCTAGCATTCCTGACCATTGGCCATTCCCCCTAGGCTGAGAGTAAATGAGTCCAAAGCATCTGGAGGGCACCTGGTTAGGAAAACCTGCTTTCTTTTGTGTACCAAAGTGCCATAATGTTACATCCGGCATAGTAGTTTGCAAATTTTATCCTTTATATTTATTTACTGTCAATTTTAGGCGAGTTATATAAGCTTTTTATTCAATGCTTGAAATGGAACCAAATGCACAATTCAGTATGCATGGGTATGATATCTGAATATTTCCACTAGCTCAAACCCCATTAAATTATTTTTGGCAATGCAAGTAACAGTAAAACAATGCTTTACCTGATCAAAAGCACTCTAAATTCATATTATTTTCATACACTGGTTGAAAATGTCCCTTATGAACTAATCAGAAATCCTTTTATCTGGTATGAACTTTAGGCTGTAATCATGGGAGTATCTATCAATTTTGGGCTTACTTCTGAGAGGAATAAACCTCTAATGCAAACAAATGTGCATGTCTATTTGTAAATCATGAACCTATGAAGATAATTTCCACCCAGTCTTTAACTCCATAAATATATAATTCCCAAATAGCTTACTGCTGACTAGTAACATGTGGCCTCTGTCTGAAAAATGAACACAAAAGAATTCTTAATAACTATAGCTGTCAAAATACCTAATAACTTTTAATAAAATTAGAGAGCATGACATGTAGCTTACAGAATGCAATTTGTGGAAGTAACTTGCATTACTCTGGATTTGGCTGTAACATATTTGCATGCAATACATACTCAGGAAACAGGAAGTGAGTATAACTGTGTCCTCTCTAATTGAATTATACTTAGATATTTCAAAAATAGACCATTTTTTTGTGAAAATCAGACAACTATCAGGACTGAAAATGCCAACTAGAAAAGGCCTCTCCTCCAAATATATTCTTGTAGCCACTCCAGCAATTTGTGGAAGAAAGAAGAGAAAGCAAGGCTACTCCATTAACTCAGTTAAGAAAAAGCAACTTTGGTTCCTCTTCTCTATGAACAGTTTCTGTTCTAGTTGCTCATAAAAAGATCAGCATCTGGCTGCATTACAGCCATTACAGCACTGCAGCTGCATTAAAGCTGCTCATTCTAAGAGCCTTATAGCATTCAGAATGCTCCCTGAGTTTTCCTGCTTTCCTTTCACCTCCCCAACTATTTTTCCTGCCTTGTTTTCATAGATCTTTTAGCTGCTCTGGAAGCCTTTCTGGCTGAAGAGAAGAATATAAGTGCTTTAAATAAACAAACAAACAACTACAACCACTGTATTCAATTATTATGATCATGATGAGCTATATGGAGACTGTCTGAGAGCTCATAACCAAAATCTTTCAGCAAAAAGCCACTACATCTGAGAGGGCACATTTCACTCCCCACTGCCTCCACACAACTTTGCAATATCTAGCAGAGTTTGTCTGCATCATATATCACAAGGTTTCTCTAAATCACTGGCTGCCTTTGGCAGAGAATGAGGAAAAGCAGAACATTAAAACAAGGTAGAGATGGACACAATGGGTCAATTTCAGATTCTCCCTCTCTTTTTGGCAGTCGTTAATATGGTACATCTTGAACTTCCAAGATTTTCTCCAGACTTAAGTTCAGTTTGTCCTGGACTTTTTTTGTTTAAACATCACACATAAATTCCCAAGCATTGTTATGCACGTTTTTCTAATTCATGCATTTTTATAGGGAAGTTCCACAGCAAAATTCAGAATTCAAAAGTGCAGAATTCAAACATAAGCAGGGTTTCAGTTTCCATTGTGGTTTGAAAGGTTCAAAATTAGGTGAGTGTGCATTAAAATGAGAACAGAACAAAATTCTCTCCATCCCTTGGCAGAGTTTAATTCTCCTAGACATTAAGGGGGGAAAACAGGAATTACATGTGGGGCTGTAATTTACAGTGGCAGCCATTCCTTCAGAGACATGGCTAGACTGTCCCTTAGCACTGGGTTCATACAATGACTATGTATGCAGTGATCTAGTTTAGATATATGCTTCTAGTTTGCCAATTTGCCGTTAAAAGAAAACAAGTTAAAGCACAATAAAGGTTTAGCCACAAAAAAGGTTTAGCCTATGATCCCCAGCATGCCCCAGCAAGCATAGTTCTAACCCTTTTTGTCTGCCCAGACTTGCATATGATTTGCATATGATTTGCATGTCTTCGTGACTTTTCTGAAAACAAGACCATAGGATGTCTTTCTCCTAAAGCTATAGACACAGCTACAACTTCAGGAGGGAGCTTAACAATCTGAGTTCCTTTCCCAAAGCCTATCTAAAGGAAAGCGAACAGCAAGAAGACAAGGCCAAAAATTCCATCAGTTCCTCCTCCTGCAATCCAGCAAGCATTAAAAATTTTAGAAGCCTCTGAGTTTGGAGGCTTTCTTCTAACAGGAGCACAATCCAAAGGGTGATGCTCTTAAATTCTAGATCCAGAAAGAATAGGAAGAGTTGAGATGAATGGATAAGATGGGCTACATAATACAGACGATGATGGGCAAAATCAAATTTAAGCAGATGGTCATTTAAAGGTTACCTGAAGGAGCGCTTACATCCATATATGCCCGGCCACCCCTTGAGATCTGTGGGAGAGGCCCTTCTCCGGGAACCCTCCGTGAAAGAAATTAGGAGGGTAGGTACTCAGAGGAGGGCCTTCTCTGCGGTGGCGCCCAATCTATGGAATGCGCTCCCCAGAGAGGTCCGCCTGGCGCCGTCGTTATTTGTTTTTCGGCGCCAGGCGAAGACCTTTTTATTTAAACGTCATTTTAATTGTTAACAATATTTGCTTATTTATCTGGCCAGGGCGACTTCTTTTATATTGTTAATTTTATATTGTTATTTTTGTAGTTTATTGTATTTTATTTGTGCTGTGAGCCGCCCCGAGGCTTCGGCAAGGGGCGGCATAGAAATGTTTTAATAAATAAATAAATAAAATAAAGACGAAAAGGGGGGGGGAGGCTCAGTGCTGCCAAGTTAGTAGATAAATACATCAAACATAGAGAGAAAATGACAAAATATTTGGGTGGAAAGCATTTCCTGACTTTCTGCTTTGCTTCCCTATTAATTTGTACCTTATTATTTGGAAAAAAATCACAACTGAAATCTCCTTTTTTGCTCCAATATTAATTTTGTACCCTGTCACCTGGATTGTAGTCAACTTAGTTCTGTATATTTTCCAAGGAACATCATCACAAACCTAAATCCAACAGTTACACAATAATAATGATTTCTCATGGAAGATCAAACTGCAGAGAAACTGAATCATTATGGTTCTCTACTTACTAAGCAGTTGGCAATAGAGGACCTGTAAACTTCTCTTCATGGTATCATCTGCTCCTGGTTGTCCTGCAGTTTATTCATGATTCTGTCTAGGAGATAAAGAGGGGAAAGCAAGGCATTTATCGATTAATTTCAGAAAGCAGGCACACTGGTTAATTGGCCTTTCTGGCCAAATAGACTCTGCTGAGAAACACAATCAGGTTCAGAGATTGCCAAATCCAGGCCATCCTTCTTCATGGGAGGCCAGGAAGATAATGAATCCTGAGAGAAACAGGATATATGAAGTGTATTGATTTCATTTTCCAGAATAAGGGATGGAGAAGATGGGTGTTTGCTGCTGGCTCTTTCTTATACATGTTGAGAACCATTCATTTTTCAAAAATAGGTCATTCAACTTTACAAGTAATACATAAAAGAAAGATAAAGAGAAAACTAATAACTTATAATATCAGCAAACACAATAGGTTGGATTCAGCAGGGTCATAAAGTAACAAGACAGTACTTCCACACATACAAGGGCGTCTCAACAATGTCTGATAACTTCTAGTCAATCTACTCCTGTTCCTCCATGAGCCACTTATTAACATTACCAAGGATCCATCCTGAACCTCCAAACTGGCCTTTGAGGGAGGATATGTGGGGAGCTGCGGCCGGATGAGGGAGCAGGAAAGCCCCATATTTGTTGTGTTTGTGGCTTGTTGGAGCTAAACCAAAGGACAAGTGATTGAAGAAAGCTTGTAGTGTTCAACACAAAGCTGTACCACCCTATTACGAAAATGTTCATTTATTCATTCATATACATACCACCAGCTAAGTTTTCCCACCAATTGTTCTTACACAATTAGTACAATCACTAATTCCCCTCTTTCTCTTTCTCTCTAAACTTTTCTTCCAGAGGTATTTATCACGCACTTCCCTACTCAGTTGTTTATTGGTTATTTAGAGTAGACAATGTTATGGCTCTCCAGTTTCACTTTTGTGTCTAACCAGCACTTTCAGTGAAGTTTATTTTATTTTTTATGGGCAGGGAAAATGTGGCATTTAATTGTGTAAGTGAAAAAGCACTAGTTCTTGTGTGTTTGTGCTAATCCAGTACACTACAGTGCCAACTAAGGTTCTATGTTAGAAAAAGAGGAAAGGGAATGCTTCTTCTGTAGTGCTCAGATCTCAATTTTGCAACAAATTGAAAGTCGGTACAGTGGATTAATAGCCAAATAATGCCCTTGTGAAGAAAGGTTCTTTTTCTTGCTTTCCCTTCCCTCCTTCCTTTCTCTCTTTCCCCTATGTTCGTAGTTGACATGCATCCAGCCAGTTCCTAATGAATCCACATCCAGAAAGTACACAGAAGGTAAATAACTGATAAGTACATTTAGATCCTTTCCCCAAAAATGCACAGGCCAAGATGCAAAGAACAACTACATTAACTTGGTGACAGCACAAGGCCATTAGACTTATTTTTCTTGAGAAAGCAAAATGCTTTTCAAACCATGGAAAATTAGAAAAGCAGGTTATGTTATTGCATGAGAACAGTTATGTAATGGGGGGAAAGGCTTAAAAGCTCACCGAGCAGGTACAAGCCCCTTGCATGAGCCTGGGTCATGGCTTTGAATCCTGGCCATGAACCATTGCACTTGCCACCAGATATTAAGTAGTTTATCTACAAAACCTTTGCCAGTATCTGGAGCTATATTGCACACTACACTACTACTTCAGATTGAAGAGCCTGCCCTTGAGAACAGTTAACAATCTTTAGGCACTTGATATTATAGGGTTCTCAGAGGGACTTCCTGCCCTTCCCACAACTAAAGGTACTTGCAAGCTGTTTTAATGTCCTCCACGATTGTTCCTTCTAAGCTTATTAGAGTGATGAGCTTGAAGGTATGTATGATACCAGCTAAACCAATAAGCGGCACTCAGCCCCTGATTAAATAACTGCCAAGGAGTTTATGAAAGCAGAAGGGATGCATTTGATTTGTAGGTGGAAGTCTCTTAGGATTGCCATTTTTATTAGCTCCATTTGCCAACAGAAGAGGTGAGATATTCACTAATGTTATCGCTTTACAGCTATTTATGCTCACTGTGACAAAGAATTCTTCCTATTTGGAGATCTCTCCCTCCATAGACCTACTTTTATAATCTGTTGCAAATGTAAAAAACTTTCATGACTGCCTTCTGGGTAGACATAATTTTCACTTCATTTACCTGTTTATTTATGCGGTTTTTATCTTGGGTATGAAAGTATATTACACAAAAGCAAATAAAATGAGAAGGAACAGATATGATTGTAAGGGCACAATACTATTGTACCTTAAGTTTACAGTCTTAAAGGAAGACTTATCTGAGAGCAATCCCAAATGATCTTGATGAGAGTCTTCTGAAGTGCAGAGGGTTGCCTGCCTATGTATTAATAATTCCCCAGCTGGTTGGGAAATGCCGGAAGCTGAAGGACTTTTTAAATGTCTAAGAATGCATAGGATTGTGCCTTAAATCTTGAATGAGGCATGCACTGGCTTCCCATTGACTGGAGTTAGGTATAACAGTATTCAGGGAGACTTCTATTTTCCTGCTTATACTTGGCATAGATGCCCTGATAAAAGAGCATCTTAAAACGGCCAATTACTGATCTGCACTGTTGCTTTGGCTTCTGCTTCCAAATGACAGAATGATTAATTCTCCAACACATGCCAATAACCAAGGATATTGTTCTATAATAATCACTAGGAATATAAAATCTATATTTAACAGGCTTCTGCCATTGATTTGCATTTATTTAACTGTTCTCTGAGCAAGGCTGCCTCTTGGATTGAATGGTCTACTGACAATTGCACTATGATACTGATAATAATAGATATGTTGCGGCAGTGGTTTTGATTTGAATTTGGATAATTTATTGATTTTTGTGAGGCAAGAACAGATGTGTGCAAGAATAAACAACATATGACATTTTGTTTGTACATGTTCATCTTTCTTTTGCTGATGTCTTAAAAACAAAGACCATTTAACGGTCATGAACCTAACATAAAATTCTACACAATAAATTGAATAAGGTCCTTTGGGTCAAATCATGCCTCAACTTTATAGCTTATAAATTTCAAGTGAAGCCATCAGGCTGAGCTTCAGCAGACTTTTGGGTAAAATGCTAAAGGTAATGACAGCTCTTTAAAGTAGCACATCATTTTAAAAGGGCAGAGAAGCCTGAAAGAGGAAACATGCATAAAAATTGATCAAAGCTCTAGTACACGCACATAAAGTTTGCTCTTCTAATCAAATTATTTGATAGTGCTTGAAAGTAGAAATTATGTTTATTTCCGTAAAAAAAAAAAAAAAAAAAAAAAAGGAAAGAACTGATTCTTACAGCAGGGGCAGGAAATTATTTGCTCCTAGAGGAGTACATTTCTTAGTGAAAAATGTTTGCAATTTGCATACTAGAAGTAGGTGGGATCTTCTGTACACCCCCCCCTCACACACACACTCACACTCACACACACACAAGTCACTCTTATACACCAATTCACATACTGAGGAATTGTCTGGTGCTGATTTTTTTTTTCAGATTATCTAGATCTATTCAGTGTGTCTGGGGTTTGGGACAGAGACTGCCTTGGTTGCCCTGTATGATGATCTTTGCCAGGAGAGAAACAGGAAGAATGAAACACTGTTGATCCTCCTGGACCATTCAGCAGCTTTTGATACCATCAACCATTGTATCCTTCTGGAGAGGCTGGCCAGACGTTCTCCAGATGGTGGAGCTAGGGGATTGTTACTCTGTGCCTTGGCACATGTGCCACAGAGTTCCGTAGGGCTCAATTTTATCCCCCATGCTTTTCAAAATGTACATGAAACCACTGGGAGAGTCATTTGGAGGTATGAGCTGAAGTGCCATCAATATGCTGATGACACTCAGTTCAACCTCTCTTTTTCATCTAATCCAGGTGAGGCAGACAGTGAATGGGCTCCAAATCCCTTCAACTAGGAAATTTTCAACCTGTCCGAGATGAGGTTGCACTCCCTGTAAAGAACAAGGCTTGTAGCTTGAGGATTTTCCTGGTCCCTAATCTTTCCCTGGAATCTCAGGAACGCTGGGTGGTTAGGAGCTCCTTCTATCAGCTTCGACTTATTTTTCAGCTATGTTCCTACATGGATGAGCAAAGCAGCGCAGAGCCACAGTGAGTCATGCACTGGTAACTCTCATCTGGATTACTGTAATGCATTCTGCATGTAGCTACCTTTGAAATGGTCTGGACACTACAACTAATTCAGAACAGGGGACCGTGGCTGCTAACAATGACTGACCATCGAGTACACATTATGCTATTCCTCTGCCAACTGCACTGGTTACCTGCGCAGTTCAAAGGCTAGGCCCAGTTCAAAGTGCTGACCCAGGATACCTGAGGAAACACCTATCAGCTGTTCACTAAAATAACTGATGGAGTTCCTTCTCTGTGGACAACCCATCAAAGAACTGAGGGGAGGAATGGCAAAGAGAGGGGCCTTTTCTGTGGTGGCACCCCACTTATGGAACATGCTCCCTAGGGAAGTGTGTCTGGTATCATGGTTGATCTCTTTTAGGTATCAGGTAAAGACCTTTTTCTTCAAACAGGCATTTAGTAGCTAACTTAGTTTTTAATAGTGTTTTTTTTTTAATATTATTGCTACTTGTCTTTTTAACTGAACTTTTCACTTTGCATTGCCAATTTTTGTATCTTACTTTTGTATTTTGTATTGTATTGTATGGTTTTGATGAATTGTATTAGTTGCTGCTGTTTTAATTAATCTAGATGTTTTGTTGTAAGCAGCCCAGAAAGCCTCAGGACTGTGGGGAGGCATATAAATACAACTAAGAAAGAAATAATTTGTTATTTACCTGGCCAGGAATCCATTTGTGTGAAGAGCAGTTTAGATATGTTAAAAATAACACACACATTCATAGGCACCCATTCATGCTAATGCATGTGCACAAAAACAGCCCGTTCAGTCACATACACACCCCATTCACTCACTCACATACAGGCAGCATGAGAGTGTGTAGGCACAACTTGCACTCAGTTCTGTGCTGCATATTCAGAAAAGTGGATCTTGTTCCAC